ATACCATTGTTCTGGACCTCGCTGACGGTGGTTGCAGTGTAAATTGAGATAGCCAATAGTGTTCTTTTGTGTTCTGGCCTCTCCATGGCAATTTTTTTTTTTTTTTTAATTATTATTATTTTTTTAATCAGAGCGTGAAACCTCTTTGCCCTGGTATTTATTGGCTCCTTGGAGTCTGAAAGCTCTGTGGGTAAAAACACTGTCAACATAAACTGCATCAGCACCAATATTGCTGCATAAACCAGGAGACTTCTCACAGTAAGCGAGGCTTAATGTTCTTCAGTTTATTTATCTGTGCAGGCCCTATAAATAATTGTGAAACTAAGTGAGAGTCTTGATAGGCTGGGAAGGGATGGGAGAGGTTGAGGGAGACTCAATACAAACCACGCTCCAACCATGGCATGATATTAGCATCTGACTGGGTGCAAACTAAATATTTTTTTCCTTTATTTTATTCACTGGCATATTAAATAACGCTGTCACCTGCCCCTCCGTGACTGAAGGTGAAGAAGCAAGGGTCTGCTGAAGGCTGAGAGGTGCACATCCCTCCGTGTGTGGGATTTTTCTGTTGTAAGGACAATAACACAACATCTCTGTTGTGAGCCTCTGAAGGGCTGAAGCACCTCTCCTATAAGGACAGGCTGAAAGAGTTGGGGCTGTTCAGCCTGGAGAAGAGAAGGCTCCGGGGAGATCTTATAGCGGCCTCCCAGTACCTGAAGGGGGCCTACAAGAAAGCTGGGGAGGGACTTTTCATAAGGACAGCTAATGACAAAACAAGGGGAAATGGGTTTAAGCTGAAAGAGGGGAGGTTTAGATGAGATATTAGGAAGAAGTTCTTCACTGTGAGGGTGGTCAGACACTGGAACAGGTTGTCCAAGGAAGTTGTGGATGCCCCCTCCCTGGAAGTGTTGAAGGCCAGGCTGGATGAGGCTTTGAGCAACCTGGTCTAGTGGAAGGTGTCCCTGCTGATGGCAGGGGGGTTGGAACTGGATGATCTTTAAGGTCCCTTCCAATCCTAGCCATTCTATGATTCTATGATCTCCAGGTTTTAGAACCAGTTGGGATTATTAAAGCGTGCTCCAAGAGGCGCTCGCTGTGCCTGCCGTGTCCCGGGCATGCTGTGTTGCCAAGCTGCTGAAGTAGATTGGGATTTCACTAAGTTGTTCAAGACTTTCTA